CCAGGATCGCTACCTTGTCTATGGCCCGGTGATCACTGCCCTGGCCCGATACTATGGGGATGACACTGCTTGCATGACCCTGATCCGCGCCGCGAACCCATTCAGCGAGGCTACTCTCCGCCATCAACACTTGCTCGAGCGTGAGGGGCGCCTGACATGGATCGCGGGTTCACTAGGCCGCCTCTGCCTGCTCCTGTCGGGGACGACCGGCCGGAGTCGAGTGGTGTTGGGGGGGCGACGTGTCCCATGCCTTTCTGCACGTCGTGCCCAAGCCCCCACGGGTCCTTCTGATGTTGCTCCATATTCTTTTGCACCCCCGCGATCTCCGTTGCTGGCCAGTTAGTGGCCATTGCTCGTTAGAACGAGCAAATTCTAGCTGGCTAGGAGCACATCCACTCTCGCCTCGATCGTGAGCGGGACCGCGGCCGCCGTCTCATGTTCGGCCAGCACTACATCATGCATTATCTAGGCCTAGACCAGAACTCGGTCCATTACCCCTTTGTGCAGTCACCGAGGCACGAGGACGACTACCCACCTCCCATAGGCGATGGTGGCGATGTGTTCTAGTGGAGATTTGTGGGTTATGTACTTCATTTCCTTTCCAGACTCCCTGTCGTTTATTGTTTCTTTCTTTCTTTTTCATTTGGACTGTAGACATGGATCTATGGTTTCCTTCACCCAGTGTGTGTGTTTTCATGACTCTAGCTATGGGCCCTTGGACTGGTCCCCTTCCAGTCCCCTGCTCTTGACTGGTCTGCCTTCTATTCCCCGTTAATGCTTTTCATTTCACGGTAACATCGTTCCCATTCCCTCTGGTCCATTGATGACACTGTCAAATTTAAGTGTGTGTGGGGGGGGGGGGTGCTTTGTCTTTATTGCAACGTATATGCGTGTGCTTGGAGCCTAGTCCGCTGTCCAAATCTCGAGATTTGAGGGCTCTAAGTACTGATGTGTGCATGATCATATTGGCTCTGTGGTTTAATTGGTGAATCGAATGGCTGTTAGAATTGATGCATGACAACTTGATTGTGACTAGGACAACCGTTAAGGATGACTGAGATGTGCAGTAGAGTTGTGTAGGGGTTTAGTTTTTCAACTGTCTGCTTACCAACTGTGACTTGGATTGATCACTTATTTTCTACAGTCGTTCATGCATCTAGTTCAGGGAATCAGAATGAGAGATAGAGCATATAGGTAGCCATGTGAGATTTGAGCTTGCTCGTTTCTTTCTTGTGTGATAGATCCCTCTTCCATGATGTGTAGCATTCACGTTGTCACTAATTAGGATGATGGAGGCATAGGAATAGACCATGAACAAATTGACTGTCCTGGTGTGTCATACCCCTTAGTTAGCCCTTTGAGCCGTGTCACTTTTCTTCTTTCGGTCTACAATGAAAAATCACCCTTTTGCATCTCTTAGAGGTTCCACATAGTGGTTTTTGCATGTTCTCTGCTGCTTTTGCTATAAATAATGTGAGGGTTGGAGGTAGTTCTTAAAAGTTGAGCATGTGTTTGAAAAATGTACAGAGGTGGTAGTTCTCTCAAGAAATAAAAAAAAAAATAAAGAAAAAAATGAAAGCAAAAGAGAGCAACCACCAAAAATTTGAATCATGCTCATTAGATAGTGTTTCTTAGCAGTCTGGCTTGGAAATACTACAGTATGGTGACCTCCTTCACTCTTGTGCTCTAAAGAACGTAATTAATGCAGAATGGTAGAGAGAAAGTAATTGGTTTCAATGAATGTTGCTGTGATTAGTTTTGGAACTGTGGAACCTTGTGTTATGAATACTTCCACCAATTAAAAGGCTTTTGCCCCATGTCGAAGACCCTAGACAGTCATTTGAACCTGTGTTTAAGACCTCTAGATTAGTTAGTGGTGACACCCAATATGTTAACTCTAACTTTTAGAGGCTGCCGTCATGGTGAAGAGACGTTAGGGATTGAGAGAATAAGCATGCGCATTTTTTGCATCAAATTATCCTCACCCCACTGGTCGAGAGTGAGCGATTCATTTCCTTATTCTCTACACTCTTTACCCCGGTGAGGACCTAGATTGCTCGGTCTTGATTCTGATGTCTTGAGTTTTATGCATGAAGTGACTGTCTTGGATAAGTGGTTGAGTCAAGTCCATGTTGGTTTGTGAACAGAAGGGAGACTTTTCCTTTGCTCGATTTTGCTGCACTCGAATGTCATCTGTGGTGGTTGTCTAGGTTGCCGTTCAGGTTTTTCACGTGTTGATGACTAAAAGCTAGTATGATTCACGTGTTTTGTGCCTATATGACATGTTCCTAATGTTTTGAGCACCGTGTGTCTAACTTGGTTTGCTTGGGGACAAGCAAACGGTTAAGTGTGGGGGAATTTGAAAACGATGTATTTGCACGTGTTTACACCCTTATTTCTTATCCGTTTGCGGCTCGTAGTCGTATATCTTTGGCCTATTTTACGTTGGGTTGTGCTATTTTGTCACATTTCAGGTCCCAGAGTTCGAAGGAAGGGCTAGGTACGAGTTTCGGGGCGTTTGGAGGTCGTTCGGTGAAGCTGGGGCAAAAACACGGGCAACCCACTCCAAAACACGGTCGTGTTCCCCATGCCGTGTTTTTAATGCCGAGAGCATGTTTGTGGTGGCTGCTGAGGAGTCCAAAACACGGGCACCCTTAGAGAAAAACACGGTCTTGTCACTCCTTGAGCACGATCGTGTTTTGATCGGTGCGGGAGTGTCTTCAATACACGAGGCGAAACACGGGCGGAAAAAAGCAAAACACGGCCGGATCCTCGACCGTGTTTTGCCCAGTCTCGGGTTAAAAGGAGATTTCAAGCCAAAGAGAAGGGGAATCCAATTTTCAGGGATAGAGAGCAGAAAACCTAGAGAGAGAGTCGACGGACAGAACTTCCAAGTGCCTTAAATCGATCTTCAACACCATTGGAGCTGGGTGGAAGCTTGGAGGAGTGCCGATTGATTACCAGAAGCAGATTGTCATCCTTCACAGAATGATTTCCGCATTTGAAGCAGATTTCTCTTCTCTCTATATGGAGTAAACTCTCTCACTCACCTGGGTATGATGACCCATAGATTTGTATGTTAGGTCTGGTTTTATGAACCTAAGTACAAGTTCTTTGATATTGATTATATTCAATTGAGGCATGATTTTCTGAATTGCATGAATCCTGATCAAATTCCTGTAGTTTCTACTTTGACCTAGAAATAGAATATCCTCCTAGGTTGATAGAGCACTCTTAATTGAAGGTAGTGAATTGACGAATTTAGTCGAGGAGTCGGTTCACTATTCTGTACTAGATTTACTCGAGTAGAGGAGGTTTGGCATGTTAGGGCCTCAGTCTGTTTACTCTGGTGGAGGTTAGTCGCCTGCTAGAGATTCAGATTGAGAGGGCATGGAGACCTTTAGTCGAGACTTCAGACTGTCTAAGAACCTTCCGCAGTATAATTATCATTGAAACTGGACTGGGTGAATTACAACTTGGCTTAACTGCAGTCTAGGGGGAACCATATCTGGGTGACCTCTCTCAAACTTGGAACACAACATTTACTGCTTTTGTTTGCTAGTTTAGTTGTAACTTCACTACAGTTGAACCACTAAATAATAAGAATCTCACAGAGTAGTCATCACACCTAGGACCCGGGTTGACATTTGAACCTAAGCCCGCTATACTACGCATTAGTAAGTGGTTACACTTGGCCACGAGGATGACGATTGGAAGTATATTTACGAATTGTATAACTCTCTATTATTGAAACATTTATTAATCTACCATGTTGATTAACTATTTTAGTAATGCATTGAATGTAACTAAAGTAAAAAACACAATCGTCTCAATTCAACTACAAACGATGACAAATAAAAAACACAATCTTCTCAGTTCAACTACAAACGATGACAAATAAAAAACACAATAGTCTCAGTTCAACTACAAACGATGACAAATAAAAAACATAAACGAAAGTGATAAACGTCTACTGAGGCGGCTGCCCTACCAACTGGTCGTACAACTCGTGAACCTCAGCTATCATATTGTAGAACTTACCACCGTCCTCCTCAAATTTACTTCGATCCCTCGTCTGTAACACGGGACCTAAACGATCCACATTCTGCTCTCTCAACTGTAAATAGAAAACAATGTTAGAATAAATAACAAATGTCCTTTATATTTGGAAAAGAAAAAGAAAGTTATAACTAACCTGATGAACTAGTAGTGGTCGCGGCTGAGGCACCCCATCAGAGCTGGGGTGGGTGATATGTGGGTGCGATCTAGTCAGAAACCAGTCAACGTACTCCTCCACGATCTCCGATGGGTGCTCGCACGACCTAGAAGCAAAATTCAAATCTAGACGATGGGCTGCCACGTTATCCCACAACTGATTCACAAACGGATCCCAAAAGACTGTGTAACTGCTGCCGGATGCCGGACGGTACTGATCATGTGGTACCATCATAGCACGGGGGATAATCTGTCTTTATCCAAACTGGCGCAGACAATGTGCATGATCGTATCCCTCAGCAATGTCAGAAAAGCGAATGATCCCAATAAACAAGGAGCGGGGTATATCTGTGTAGCCATCTCGTCCGTACGGAGTCCAGGTCACATCATCATCTAAAAGCTCATCCAACAACTGTCGATAACGTGCTAACCTCTGTCTAGCATCATCCCCACCTGGCAAACGGGCAGAAATCCACGAGGAAGCACGAGGTGCATCCGGAGACTGCGGCAACTAGCTCGAACGGAATAGAGGAAAGTACTCATATATCCAAGACTGGAGCAGGGTCAAACAACCACAAACACCCTTACTACCCGCTCATGTGGCCACTCCCAACTGTCTGTAGAGATAGGCTAGTGCACCAATTCCCAAGCGTAATTAGTCAATCGTCGATGATCCTTCAGAAACAAGTTGATCGCTGGACGAAGGCGATCACGACTCTTATCCACAAAAAGCGTGGATCCCAGTAACACAAATAGGTAACATTGCACCTCCATCTCCTTAATCTTCAGCTCTCCCCATGAACCAACAATCCCTCCGCATGCATAGCACCATTATCGTACCACTTAGACGTCCACTTACCACCAACATGAGCATCCACCGAAAGTTGAACTAGACCACCCATTTCTGACTTGAGAATATTCGGCGACGCCTCATCTCCCATCAACTCTCCATCAACCGGAATATGAAGAATGTGATGCACATCATGTAGAAGGATCGAAATCTCTCCAAACGGCATGTGGAAGGTGTTTGTGTCCGGCTGCCACCTCTCCACAAATGTCGACAGTAGAGCCATGTCTAAATGCTGCATCATGCACCCTGTCAAGTGAGACAATCCTGTGGCTTCAACCATCTCCTTGGAACCCTCTGCACTCCACTTATATCGCCTCAAAAACTCTACAGCTTTCAGCCTATGGAAGCCGTCCAACAGTCCACGGTCCTGCTCAGGGGAAGTCCACAGTACAAAGCCAATGTGACCTCCAAAGCTAGGGATTACATCGGGAATCACTGGTCCACCTGAACACATATGAGTCTCGGATGTAAGAAACCACGACATATCTTTCCTCGTGGTCTTCCTCTTCCTATTTCCATCTCCGCCTTCCTCACTACTAGGTCTTGATGCATAGCGTCCATCTGGCCCACAGAAGTGTGAGGAAGCAGTAGAAGATATCCCGACCAGCGCCGTCTACCCCACGCCTAAATCAGCTTGAGGTGGGGCATCCCCAACCTCAGCATCACCGTCATCATCATCATCCTCGTCAATGGAATCACTCCAATTAGTCTGCCATGCAGGTGTGCTCTTTGGTGTAGGAGTACTAGTAGTACCTCGACTAAGAGACAACTGCCCCACAGTAGGGTGACCGTCAGGACGCACTACATCCGCCTTCTTCTTCTTCCTTCTAACCTTAGGTGGGTTTTTTTCTTCATTTTCCTTCCTACCAGTCGCCGTAAGTCTACACCGACGACCTTCCATTCTCTCTTTATTTCTTGCCTTAATCATATCCGGTTTACACATTCCATGTCCAGACATCTTCAAAAAAAAGTTTGAATTATTAATAATGGATTATTAATAATGGAGTACATAAAGTAATTAATTTAAGATTTTCATAATTAAAATTATAAAACTAATAGTTTGAACATTTATGTTACGTTCTATGTAATCATTATTTACATAAAAGTAAATAATTAATCAAGGTAAAATTATTAATAATTAAGTAGATAAACAAATTAATTTGAAATTTTGATTATTAAAATGATAAAAAATACATTTTGATTTTTTTATAATGTTCTTTAAATTTGTTATCATTAATTAACATTTATCGAATATGTTTTTCAAATTTTTATATCATTATTGACAAAATATATAACTAAATTATTTTTATTAAGTATATTTTTTTAATAATTTTTATGATTATTCACATTTATCGAATAATAAAAACACAGAATATTAAAAAAAACGGTCAAACCGCGATCAACGCGTGGTTAGACCGACGGTCAGCCGTTGATTCAACCGCACGTTGACTGTGATCAGCCTTGGTCAAACCGCGGTTTGACTGCGATCGTACCTTCTTCTCTGGCGAGGCTCGCGCGAGGAAGGATGGCGGCGACGCGAGGAAGGCGGGCATCGACGAGAGGAAGGACGGTGGCGGCTGCGACTGCAGGCGGCCACGCGACTGCTGGCGGCGACTGGCGATGGACTGCTGGCGGCATTCGCGATGGAGCGATGGGCAGCGGCGGCCGGCGACGGCGGTTTATGGAGGGACAGAATTTGGCGGGTGAGAGGAGTTGCAGGGGAAGGGGAGTGATTTTGAATAAGGGCTTGTTTGTTCAAGGCAATTTTGAGTTTTTTCTTAAGGGTATATTGATAATTTTACATTTAAGTTAGGGCGACCTTTAGCAATTTCAAGGGCGACATTTAGCAAGCCAGTAAATAAACAATCTTTTGCCCTTCTCTCTCCAGCTTTTCTGAAGCCCACCAAAATACCAAGCTGAAATTTTTTCAAAGCCCTGTACAACTCTTCAGTTGGCTCCTTGCCTCCTTCTCTCTTAACTTCATGACTCTCAACTGTTTTCCTCCACTTTTACCACTTAAATGAGCACTTTACAAAGCCATTTAATCCTAGCCCTTGAATTACAGCTCGACAGACGTGGCCCTCCATCTGGACGTATGAGCTGCTACTCACAAAATATGTTGTGAGCCATAGCAAAATTGAATCTGATTGGGTTCTAGATCCCATACAGATCTAGAACTGTACATGGGCACCAGGCCGTGCCGTCCACGGGCTAGCACGATACGGCACGGTTAGAGCACGGGCACGAAATAAATGGGCCAGCCTGGCACGAGCACGAATAATTTATGGGCCGTGTCGGGCCTAAACTTCATGAGCACGGGCACGACATGGTATATAAGTGGGCCGTGTCGGGCCCAATATTTTCGAGACTTTATTGAGTATAAGAACGGACATGACACAAAAATAATATTTATTTGATAGAAAATAGATATAAAATAATTATAGGTTCAAATATTACAAATTACAAGTAGAAAAATTATTATTTGTTGTTGTTAGAAGTGTCATAAAGATATATACGTAATTACTACCATAAGTAAAAATGGACGAAGAATTAAACAAAACCAAACCACACACGCTATACTTCCAGTTTTCTTTTCCCCCCTTATTTGTTACTTTTCTCAAACATTATCGGTTAATACTATCTTTCTCCGTTCAATTTTCACCTTCTTTTTCATTCTCTCTTTTGTTTTCTTCCTTTTCATTAAACACGAATATGAGCATGACACAAGCACGAATAGGCACGACACGTTTCGAACCGTGCCTGGGCCGGGCCTAGCAAAGTTAACAAATGGGCTTGCATGGCACGACACGAAAACTGACGGGCCGTGCAAAGCTCAGCACGAAATAAATGGGCCCGAAGCGTGCCCGTGTCGTGCCGACCCAAGCACGGCCCAGCGTCCATGTACATCTAGAACCCATGGTCCTGAGTATACTTCTCAAAGAGGCTTGCAGTCATACTTTATACATAATGTATTCCTCCTATATTTGAATTAATCACATCTACAAAAAATTAGAAAGAAGAGATTTTATATAAACTATTTTCGGAAATGACAACCACCATAACCAACTAGGCCCCGTTTACTTTCCATTTCTTTTTTTGTTTTATGTTGTTAAAACAAAAAGGAGAAAACATCTTCACTTTGGTTTTTGTTTTCATTGGTGGCAACCAAATGACAAGAAAAAATGCCAGCTGAAGAAAACGAAAAAACGGGTTTCACGAAAACGATGAGGCGGGTTTTTAGTTGTTTTTCCGCGAGATCCTTTTAATAAGGTCGGGTCTTCAAGACCCAGCGACCTCATTTTGCATTTTTTTTTTAGTTTTGGTTTTAAAAAACAAAATAGCTCTCACCCTCTGAAATTAAGGGTGTTCAAATAGTTATCATGGTAATTAATAAACCAAATAATGCTAGATTCTACTAACTATGGAATAAAATAGCATAACCAAATCGTCCAAACTAATACAACAACCAAATTAACCAAACCAAAACTTAATCGGTTTAGTTAATTGGTTAACCAAAATAACCAATATAACATCACATTATCATTAAGTGAGAAACATTTCCGGTTAGTGCATCAATTCGCAATTTATATAATGAATAACAAATAGCAAACATAACATAATTATAGCTAACCCTTAACATAAATACATGTAACAAATACCATTATCTTACATTTGACTCTTGAGTGGTTATGCATAGTATTAACTATGTGTATATAATATATATTAGATATATGACTAATTACTTAACTCGTTAATTTGCTTTGATTGGTTAAGAGTGTGTGAAACCAAACCAAATCACCTAAACCAAACAAAATAAAAGAAATTACCAAATCAAACCAACCCAATTATCCAATTTAACCAAACCAAATTATACAAACCAGTTAAAACGGTTACCACGCTAACCACTCCATTTGAGCACCCCTATCTGAAACTCTACTACCCTCTCTTCTCTCCCACAAACAGCAACCGCCTCCTACAAGCAGCAGTGGTGCCTCCCCTTTAGACCGAGCTAGGCCGCTGACGCTTCTACTTCTCCTAGCGGTCGACACACCAGCGAGCGAGGAGTGCGACTACTGTTGATTCGGGCTCAAATGTACATATTTTACCCCTCATTTCTTATTCGTTTAGCTTAGTATTTCATCGTTCCTTGACATATTTCACACTAGGTCGTGCTTGTTTTGATACATTTCAGGTACTAGCACGGGTGGAAGGGTCGAGGTCGAATTTTGGGATAATTGGATGTCAAAAAGTGCAAAAACCGAAGAAAAGTCCGAAGTAACAGTGAAGTGAAGGCGTCCCAGAAAACAGCCGCTATTCACGGGCGGACAAGGCAGAACACTGTCTCCTAATACCGTGAACTTGGACTACAAACCGTGAACATCGAGCAGTCTAGCAAGGTTCCAGAAGTTACTGACGACAAGGCAGTTCATGGTCTCTAAGACCGTGAACCGGGGCCATTGACCGTGAACCTAGGAAGCAAAGTGGTGCATTTTGGAGACGACTGAGTTCACGGACGCGTTTAGGTGTTCACGACCGTGAACTGGCCAACGCGTCCGTGAACTGGTCACTTTCGGGCAAATATGAAGACAACAACGGGGAAAGAGAAAGGGGAGCTGATTTTTGGAGAAGAATTGGTTTCTTTCTCTAGGGTTTGCCCAAAAACAGCAAAGGGGAGTTCTAGTTAGAGAGAGAGAGAGTGCTAGAGTGTATTGGAGCATCATTGGAGGCTTGGGTGGAGATTCGAGCCTAGAGGAAGGAGAAGAAGAAAATCTTGAGCTCAAATTTGTAATCCCTCTCTCTCTCTCTCTCTCTAGAAACTCACTCTTTTCTCTTGTGTGTTGTATATCCCTAACTAATACTTTGTAAAAACTTGTTTAGATTGAATGATTGTCTATGGGTATTATTTAATCCAATGATTGAGGTATTATTCATGTTGATTGTGCATGCTTATGCTTAGTAATCTAAGGATTGTGCATGTTTTGTGCTTAGCATCTTTAGGTTTGTGCATATTGTTGCTTAGCAACCTAAGGATTGTGCATAATTGTGCTTAGCATCCTTAGATTTGTGCATGTTGGTGCTTTGCAATCTAATTAGCCACTTTAACCTAGCTTAGAGAGGAAAATCCCCCTTCCAAGGGAGACTCAATCGAGTTGGTTTACCTTCCAAGGGAGACTCAATCGAGTTGGTTTACCTTTAGCCTTTAAGCCACCTAACTAGGTTACCTCAATGTTGAATTAGGAA